TTTAGTAAAAAGTATTTAATTTAAGCCACTCCATGTCTTTGGTGCTTGGTTTCAAATTTTTTTTTACTGTATTCTGGGCAAAAAACGTAACATTAGAATGGACACTTTTCTTTACCAGGAAAAAGAAGAGTTTAAAAGAAGTCATTTACAATTAAAATTTACCATTACAATATTCAACACAAATACATGCAAAAGATGCTTAGCTATAGCAAAGGATGATGATAAGAATAATGTATTGAATAAAAATGTTATTGTTAAAGTAAAGACTTGGGCTAGATAGAAGTTAGCTGTAGTCTAAATGCTGTTTGAGAAATTCATAAGCCTATAGGAGAAAACAATAAAGAATAATCTTTTCTAATTTCCCCACAAATTTTAATAAACAGACGAACATTTTCAGTCCAATGTATAGGTCAACATTGAATTTAAACAATACAATAACTTAAAATTCTTGCATTCTGTTTGGAATGTCATGGAGTTCCATGCTGAATTTACCATATTTAAAATTTTGGAATGGCTAGGCATCTATTTACTGATTTCTACACATTTTAAGATTTCACAGATATTAAAAAATTATACAAATTATAAAGAAACATCAAACTAATTCTATATAATGGTCAATAACAACGATTGTATTTGGCAATCATATTTAAGCATTGTTTGGTGATTATCATAAAAAGACTGCCAAGATGCTGACAGCAATTTTCTATTTTTGTAATTGATGCATTCACTCCTCCTTGTAGCTTCAAATATTTCCAATATTTCTAAAGCTTGTAAATGATCATCTTTGAAGTCAAGGCAATTCAGTTCTGCCTTTTTGAGATTTGCTTTCATCCTGGGTTCTGTGGCATAAATGGCTAAAGAGGTGACTGATGTATTTTTCAATATTGTATCTATACATCAATTCTATGAATACTTCAGTGGATAGTGAAATACTCATAGAATTGATGTATGCCAAATTGTGTCCAAATCTCTTATTTGTGACCAGGATAAGATAAATTGATATTTGTGGTACTCTTGATAAATTAATACTATTACACAGTAATTTGTATACTGTGGTGTTTTGACAATAGCTATTTGTTGATGTCTAAATACCTAGCAATTTCTTTATACAGTGACCTGACCCTTACATTATAATCAACTACTATATGTCTAGAATCAACAGGAGTAAGCTGTCTGTCTTTTTGGTGTTAAGGAGGGATTCCTCTGGTGTATTATAAATGTACTTTTCAGTCAACTTTTGTATTAGTCTTTTCAAGTATCCATCCATTACTGCAATTTTTTCTTTGCCATGTGTAATATATTTGCACAGTGTGTAAGTGCACACCTAACTAATGCACTGAATCCTAGCGTCTTGCGTGAAAATGTGTTGCTGGAGCATGCTGGAAGAAAGAAAGGACAATAATCAGATTTATGGTATACACTACTGACAATATCATTATCCCTAAAAGTGGTGCTCAAGTATAAAAAATATATTTAAGAATTACTTCATGCTTCAAAGTGAGGCTATATGCATCTGGACAACATTCTGCTTGGTATAATACGAATGCATAATAGCCAACTTTACATATAAGCATACCCATCCCGGGAGATGATAAAGCCGGGTGTTATNTAGTCGGTGGAATCACGCTCGACATTCCAAACACCATCGTCAAACTTTTAGGCTTACGGGAAAGCGGCGCCGAACGTCACACGTACACGTTTACACGTTTAAAACGTGCGCCTCAACCTCTCTATTAAATAAATATAATTTAAAAGTCTATAGAGGTATGCTTCACGTATCTAGGTAGACTAAAGCATCACAGACATATATAAGTTACAATTTAAGTTTAATAGAGACTACTCCATTCAGCATATATAAACATGCTACAAAGAGAAAAAGAAAGGAAAAGCTTTGTTGAAATAAAACAAAAAGGAGCAGGAAAAACAATGTTTTAATCTGTATGAAATTTAAAAAGTATTGAGTGATATTTTTACAACTTTGAAAAACATGAGTTATGTGGATATGCCATTTGTGTGACCTTTTTTTTTTAGTTTTAGAATTTTCTGTGGAGTGTACTGTACATCACTACAGGTTTTTTAAAATGATCTTAAGAAATTTAACTGTTTCTTTTGTCTATCCTAAAATTGATGTACAAGATCAAAACCTACAAGAATTCTGTAGTAAACTATAAGAATTATTTAACAATTTTGAAGTTATGGTAAATTCTTTATATCATGGAATATATCTCATTTCTGATAAATCCATTTCTAATTGATATAATGAGTAAGGATTTTTCAATTCCCAAATATTAGTATCTGATGTAGCTGAAGAAAATAAATTAGAAATACAAGACTAAGATTTACAAATAATCCATAATTCATAGTTGCTAATAAAATATATTTCTTATAATAGATCTTGTATGTTGAATTGTATGTGTAATATTTTAAATGTAAAAATATAATGTAATTGCTATTACATTGCAGTGCGATACATTAATTTTATATACAGTAGAACCCATTTAAGAAGGTCGGTCCCACATAAGTCCAAATTTTCCTGTTCTGGCATTTACACCATAAGATACATGTTAAAATTTCCTGCACAACAAGTTTCTGCATATCAAGTTTTCCTACATAAGAAATTCTAAATATTGGCCCCATCAACAATATTTTATGCACTTAAGAAGTTTCTTTTGGAGACAAATCATAACATTTTCCTTGCCATAAATTTATCACTTAGGAAAATAGTAAAGTTTTAGTAAAGTAACTCTAGATGTTCAATATATTGCATATCAAACACTTGAACACCCGAGGTGGTTGCTAATTTTTCTGGGGTCTTATTGTTTTGACCATACCTCTATCCGGTGCATTTGTTAACTGTTGATTTGTCCTATCGACGTGACACTTAAGCACCTGCTATAGTTCGTGCATCTTACTATTCTACTGTTACACTGTGCTATGTTATATTACCTTGATATTGAGAAAAATTGAATATACAGAGATTATTTTTTTTTACAATTTCTGCATAAAAAGTTTTCCTGCCTAAGAATTATTATTATTGTTTTTTTTTTCCCCAGTGTTTCCTTTAAAATCTTGTTAACGAGATTCTACTGTATTTACTTATCAATATCAAAATTTATTGATTTATTTTATATGATCTTATAAATTGTGTCTAATTGTAGCTCTCAAAATTCTGAATCTGTAAAATGCAGCATTCGTGTTTGATAATAGACTTTGTGAGGCCCTGCACTGAACTCAAAACTTTGTCTTAAAGATAACGAACATCCAGCTGGACAGTTAAACTCTCACCTTTCAAAATTAAAACAAAGTGAGACTTAGTCTCACTAAAACAAAAGTTCCTTCTGTTAAAAAGGAAAACAAAAGGCTGGAATTACAAGGAAGAATTTGAAAATTCAGAGGAATTTTAGCCAATTGGGATAAGTGTTGATGATGACCTCTCCCATGCCCCAAAAGGTTCGAATTGTTACCAGGAGATGAGAAAAGACCAATTGGTACTGTACATGGGATAGAAAAGAGAAATCTTTTAAAAATTTGTGTTTCAAGGACACAACATTCTTTGCTCTAAAATTTGTTCTTCCTCTAAGATCCATTGTTATGCTTCCCAGATCTGTTCATTTTCCTTGAGTTGCTCTCTTTCAAGCTGTTAGATCCAAACTTACCAGCATGCCTCAAGGCCATTGATCTTGCAGAAGACCATTGTGAGGGCCCGGATTTAAAATTTGAAATATTTTTATTCATTCTCATCTACTGTTTTGTTTCGAAACCAAAATGATTTTATAAAAGTTAGGGTTAACTCAAAAAGAGAAAAACAACCAACAAATTTTCTCATAAAAATCGCTCATAAAACTATGTTCCCACGAGGATACTTCCTTGTAGAAGATGAGTTAACCATTGTGTCGTAATTTTGTCACTTCGCCCACTATTGGTCAAAGAAGATCATCACCTGTGACGTACATGGGGAAATCTCGAGAACAGAGCCCCCATATAAAAGGCAAGTGCGATGATGACACAGAGAAAAGTTATTTTTCTATACTGTGAGTGTGTCCGTGGATTACCTGCCTCTTGTTGCCACTGTCTTCAATAGACTTTGAACTTTGACTTTGAACTTTGGACTGAATTACGAACTTGGGAAGAACAAGAACTCGTAAACATCCTACCCCCGATTAGTCTCACACCATCAAGGGACTGAGTGTAGACATTAAACATAGCATTCAGACTTTTATTGGACTCTCTTCTCAAAAAGAAATATCAAAGGAGAATTGTAACAATAAGAATATTTTTATATTTTATTAAAAATGGAAAAAGTGAATGGTCATTGTGTACACCATGACCACGCACGATTGTCTCAACCCCTCGATCGTCCTGACAATTGCACACAGCACAATTGCACAAACCTTACACTTCTATATTGAGGCTGGTCTTGATATATAAGGCCTTGTTAAAGTATTTAAAGTAGGAGCAAATTTGTAATTAAATAATTAATGAAAACTGATGTTATTTTGTTTATTTACTGATTGACACTTTTGTCTCTAGCTTCTGTAAATTATTTGAAATTGTTTTGTCATTATTAAATAATAATCATCATATATATTTGAAACCATCTTTTTTTAAAAAAGGTATAAGTGCAAAAGTGTCAACTTTAATTTGTAATTTAAAATTTTTTAAAATTAAGTTTTGTAATGTTTTGTATCTGAATTCTAATAAAATAAGCTTGAAGACAAAGAAAAGTATTATTATAAATTGCAAATAACCTATGGGTTACCTGTTAAATTTAACTTTAAAGCATATATGGGTTATTTGCCAAGTTAATTGAATTCATGATTGTGATTAAAAAATTTAAAGATATTAAACTATTTAAGATTTGAGTGATTGCAACACTAAGTTAAGGAATTTTATGTACTTAGGTTTAAAATGCATAATAATGCTATTAATTATACAACCTGAAAGTTTTGTCATTTTATGTTGATATGTGCTTTGATGATTAATTTTTTTTATTTGTTTAGGAAGTTATGAGTGATCTGGAGGAAAGTAAATACCAAAATGCAGAATTGCGTCTTTCTGTCTATGGTAGAAGAAAGGATGAATGGGATAATCTTGCCAAATGGGCAGTAACATACAATGTTTATTCAGATAATGTTAGATGGCTTATTCAAGTTCCCAGATTATAGTATGTATTATAATTAAGATAGTTTAAATATCTGATTTTACTTTTTTGTTACAGGATGACATATATGTATATCTTGGCAGAAAAATAAATTCAAAAGTAATAATAGAATTCAATTAAAATCAAATGCAATTTGTTAGTTATGTGTGTTAAACATTGCCCAGAAAGATAAATTTATTTATTTTACAAAAGATTGCCTTGTTTTGTTCTCACATCACGTTATGTATGGTACAAGGTTGCCAGTGCTCGACACAGGATGAGCAAATGGTTATTGTTTAAAACAAAGAAAAACTACAATACAATTAAGAAGAAATGGACTGCGAAATATAATTTTCAAAATATTTCCCTTCAGACACAAGCAAATTCTGTAGGCATTCATAAAATTGGTATCTGACCACTGCTGAAATTTTTCTTGTTGAATCCCTGATGCACTCCTGAAAAATCTAAAGGCTGTTTATTACAGAAACTAATTATTTTTAGTTGCTCCTCATATAGCAAAGTATAGGGGAGTTTAAATCTGGGCTTATACAGAAAACAATTTGATAATGCATCCAGCTTTTTCTGGTGCATCCATAGTATGGATGCACCAGAAAAAGCTGGATGCATTATTGTTTTGCATATTTGACACATTTGTTTGAGATTGTCAAACACTACTTCAGTGCCAACTAATTTCGTATGAAAGTCTCAAATGTAAGTTGCTTCTAACAAACTGTTCAAAAATTACATTATTTTTCCATCAGGACATACATATATGCCACTCTGTATTAATGTTTATGATCATAATAAAAATAAAATGACAATTGTGAAGAGAGTGTTTGAGAGTAGAGAAACAATATTACAAGTAAAACACTAATAATTACAACTAACGAATATGTAGTAATGACAGAGAACTGGGTTAATATTATAAAAAAACACTCGCCAAACCAGAAAATCCAGCGGCATAATATTGATATAATAAAAAAGAACATATTTGACAAACTTAAGTTGTCATCTTCTGGTTGAAAAGTAATTAGGAAGATAGAAGACAGTTCAAAACAATGTTCAAATATAGCACAGAGTTTGAAAAACTAAAAGAAGTGAGATGTTACTGGTTGAATCTGACGCATGATCAGTGGTGTCAAATTAGGTTTATGGGGTGACGAAATAAAGATCTCCATGTATGGGAGAAAGTTTCTGCCTCCCTATAGTTAATTGCCGTGTCTTTAAATGATGCCTTGAANTGTAACTCTTCTTCCTCACACGTGTTTACAATATACATTTTTCTATTGGCAATTTATCGTTGCGATGCTGTTTATTTTATACATACTCTAGGTTTAATTTTTGTTATATTCATATTTTTTAATGTTTTTGGGTTTTGGATCTGATCTGGAACCTCACACTAGTGAGATTATTATTTATTTCCTGCATAAGTATATCTTATTAAATCTGGTTTTGAGTAGGTACTATAATCCAAAATTATAGAGCATAGCTTTAAATCATCATAAAGCTACCAGTAATTTTGAATAGATTTTTGTTCTATGTTCTGATAATCCGAACGCAATTTTATGTTAAGCGAATGGCAGATAAGGCAAGGCCAGAATAATCCAAATTTGCTATACCAGGATTTGATCATTTCGAAGTTGGTTTTGTGACATCACGGATACAGATCAGGAATATTCTGCAATCAACACTGAGGTAATATTACCTGAAACAAGAAACTTTGTTAAATTCAATCAACAATAATTGATATTAATATGAACCATAAAAATTTGTATAAATAATTTGTATTGTTTCAGACATAGCAACGTATACATGATCGATTTTTAATTATCATATTAAATTTTTCTTTACATTTTAACAAAAGTTAATATTAATCATGGTTTTTCCAGGTTCCCGTTCTGCAGTACCTTTATTATTTGACGCAAATAGGCATTGCCATGTCTCCGTTGAGTAATAATTCACTTTTTCTGAATTATCATCGTAATCCTTTGCCTGAGTATTTGAGCAGAGGTTTGTGTGTATCATTGTCTACTGACGATCCTCTACAGTTTCACTTTACAAAGGTAAATTTTTTCAACATATACTATAATGGATTCTTTTAAGATCACAAACAAGGGATTGTTAATGATGATTATTTTAGTCATAAGTTTATTAAATCAGTGATCTGGGAAGTAGACAGCCAGCTTTTGATTAAGTAATTTTCTTGTTAAATAAATTTCTCATCTTGTACTCTTTTCAAATCTGCGACGTATTATTCCACTGGTCAAATTGATTATTGGGGAAATAGGAAGGAATGATTTTACAGGAAATGAATATCCTCCATAGAAGACTTCAGTTCTCTTTGTTATTATCTAACTGAATTTTACGAAATATTCTAAAAACTAGTCATGGATTTCTTGTTAGTTTTGTAATTCATTGATTCCCTCTTTCCTGTTCTCTAGGTTCATCATATTGGCAAGCCAGATATCGTTTTTGATAAGAAAGTCTTGACAAATTCTTAATTGAAAATGTTGCTATTCTTAGAGATATTCATTGATGACGTCGTCGCTGTATTTCCTCTCAGTCTGCTTTGGGCTTTCTTTTTTGCTCTTTTTCTCTTTATCGTCATTTTTTTGTATGATTTTTGGGCAAAACAGGTTTTTCACTTGAGATTTCTTTCTGGTTTTATTAAAATATTTTCCACTTTTACTAAAGCAGCTCTTCGTCTTATTACTAGCTCTGGCCAAGTTATCAGAGTAAGGCCATTGTCACACGATTCGGTATTTTCCCGGATGAATAAAACCAGCACACCAAATCTCACCCAAACGAGTAGTACTAAATACAAGGTACAAAATTTTAACTCTACACTACTTAGACATGATGTAATTCCGCCTGGACAATAGATTTGCACAGATGTCTTGCTATCGACTCATGAGCTCAGCATGAAGTTTGTCTCTGACATAATCTAGCAGCATACTAGAGCAAATTCTTCAAAAATGTCTTCACACAGTCTGGACGATTGGATGTTCAGGTGCCTTAGATTAGCTTTTGAATATTCTCTACAGAACTGTTTAGTTGTTTCTATTGGGCACTACTTCAAGAAAGTGGCATGGCAATTTTTTCGGACATGTTACCAATTGCAATGAACATGGAGACTACTTACTTTCAACAGAGAGGATATAATTTTCAGTGTGAGGAGACACCTGAAATACTCAAATGAAACATGGATGATGTCTGAAAACATCTAACAGATCACTTATTCAGATATTTACCTATCTGTGTGACTACACGGATTGTGTAAAAGTATCCCAAGACGTCAATTCCTACATTCACATTGCTCTGTTAATTATTTTGACTGCAATTTTCTATTTTAACAATCTTTTCTCTGTTTTTTTTTTAACTTTTTACTTTGTACTCCTTTTAAGAATAACTCAAAGTATTTGATAGGAAACAGCTTCAATCTGCTCAGAGAGAGAACTTAAAACCTCTAGAGCAATTAGAGATCTATTTTTGTGAGTAGTGATGGGACGATACCAAAATTTCTTCCTGATTCCGATCATTTTGAATACTTTCTAAAGTTTATTTTAGTTTAGAAAAATTGATGATTTATATAATGATCATGATACATTCATTAATTAATAAACATCGGCTTAAGAATGGAAAATGATTGGTAAATCCAGAATCTATCATTCAAAAGAAACCCGAAAATTCTCCATTTATACGTGGATGTGTTTGTTTTTATTTTGTACTATAAAATAAATTTGTAATTTTATTTCGGATAAAGTTAATATAGCAACACTGCCCTGAAAGAAATTACAGCTAATTCCTTTTCTATCAAAGAGCTATTCTGTCATATCATTGTCATATCATGGGATAAATCTTTGGAAATTTCTTCGTTGGCTGATTGGATTACCAGTTGGGAAGGAAGGTAAATGAGAGGATGTACTTCTTTTTCCATGCTTCTTGCAATTGGTATATCTCGTAAATGCTTTAATTTCATCATATTAACAATAAATGAGATTCAGCAAATGATGCAACTAGCCAAACAAATATCATCATCATGAGTTAACCGATTTTTGAATTTATTCACTCAATCCACAAATATCTAGAAGACTTGTCTCAAAAAATTAATTTTTAAAACTCAAAATGACAGTAAACTTAGTGCGAACCTGTATTGTTACTCAGAATCATGCGAATTGCATTTGAAAATTGAACATATTTCAGCATCATCTGTGAATCATAACAAAAATTTCTATAATTATAATGAGAGTTGTTTTATCATTATAAGTAAATATACTAAATATTAAAAATAATTGGGCTGCAATTTGAAAAAACTGTAGACCTGTAAATTCTCACTGTCGTTCCTTAATCTCGAGTTAGATCAGTGTTCTGCAACCGGTGTGCCATCACAAGGTGAAAGATGTGATGTGAACTTTTACGTATTCTATTAATTTCAAGTTTTATTTATATATTTTTTTATCACAGTTGTTGTGTTTCTTATGCTTGTATTTCATTCATTGATGAAATATGATGATGATAAGCAATAAACACATACAGTAGAGCATCGATTATCCGAAACATCAATTATTCAAAAGAATTCCAGTTGGCAAATTTAAATTTTTGCCAGTGCTGTGGCGCTGTAATCTTTGGCTATGTCTTCGGCTACTCAAATATTTTACGTTTTTGATACTAAATTAACGTCTGAAGTACAATTTTTTTTTTGTTTTCATATTTTTCAATATATTTATTTTGTTTGTACAAAATAAAAAAATAATTTTTAATGATACAATAGTTTTCGTTAGGCTTAACATCGACGAAAATTCAACACAAAGCGACACGCAACGGAGAAAACTTTCAACATGGCATAAATTAATATATTTTTTCTTACATAATCGGTTATCTGAAATATCGATTTTCCGAACAACCCCAGTCCCTAATTGATTCGGATAATCGACGCTCTACTGTATGCCATCTCAGTACTCACTTATTCTTTTGGAGTTATACATTGGACTCACACAGATCTTGAGCAACTTCAAATGAAAACTAGAACACTTACTAAGTATAAACAAATCATTC